TATTTATTTATTTATTTGATTTGTTTGTTTGTTTTTTTGCTTTAATTTATATGCCTGTAGTACAGTGGACTAAAGCACTGTAATTAACATCTGCTGCTTGCAATTACTGCAAGTTTGAATCTCACCAGGCTCAAGGTTGACTCAGCCTTCCATCCTTTCAAAGGTAGGTAAAATGAGGACCCAGATTGTGGGGGCAATAAGCTGACTTTGTATAAATATACAACAGTATGAAGGCTATTGCTTAACGCATTGTAAGCCACCCTGAGTCTCCGGAGAAGGTCGGCATATAAATTAAAGCAAAAAAAAAAAAAGCAAAAAAACCCCTGAAAGGATGGGATCAAGCCAGCCAGGCTAGATGAAATAAATGAGTTTTCAGGACCCAACGAAAAGTCTGGAGGTCTGGTATTGTGCGTATCTCTGGGGGTAGGTCGTTCCAGAGGGCAGGTGCCGCCACAAAGAAGGCTCTCCCCCTGGGGGTCGCCGGCCAACATTGTCTGGCCGACGGCACCCTGAGGAGGCCTTCTCTGTGCGAGCGTACTGGCCAGTGGGAGGCTATTGGCGGCAGAAGGCGGTCTCGTAGATACCCCGGCCCCAAGCCATGGAGCACTTTAAAGGTGGTCACCAACACCTTGAAGCGCACCCGGAAGACCACCGGGAGCCAGTGCAGCTCGCGCAGGAGAGGTGTCACATGGGAGCTACTCATCACTCCCATAATCCCCCGCGCGGCTGCATTCTGGACCAACTGGAGCCTCCGGGTGCACCCCAAGGGGAGCCCCATGTAGAAAGCATTGCAGTAGTCCAGGCGGGAAGTGACGAGTGCCTGAGTGACCGTGCGTAGGGAGTCCCGATCCAGAAAGGGACGCAACTGGCGTATCAGGCGAACCTGATAAAAAGCCCCCCTGGCCATGGCCGTCATATGCTCTTCTAAAGACAGCCGTGTATCCAGGAGGACACCCAAGTTGCGAACCCTCTCTGTGGGGGCCAGTGATTCGCCCCCAATAACCAGCGATGGCACCAGCTGGCTATATCGGGACGCCGGAAGCCACAGCCACTCGGTCTTGGAAGGGTTGAGTTGGAGCCTGTTTCTCCCCATCCAGGCCCGCACGGCCTCCAGGCACCGGGACATCACTTCAAGGGCATCGTTTGGGTGGCCTGGGGTGGAGATGTACAGCTGGGTGTCATCAGCGTACTGATGGAACTCCACCCCAAAGCCATGGATGATCTCACCCAGCGGCTTTACATAAATGTTGAACAGAAGGGGCGAGAGTACCAACCCTTGCAGCACCCCACAAACAAGGCGCCTCGGGGTCGACCGCTGCTCCCCTGCCAACACAGATTGCGACTGGTCAGAGAGGTAGGAGGAGAACCACCGCAAAACGGTGCCCCCCACCCCCAACCCCTCCAACCGATGCAACATGATACCATGGTCGATGGTATCAAAAGCCGCTGAGAGATCTAACAGGACCAGGATAGAGGAGCAACCCCTATCCCAAGCCCTCCAGAGATCATCCACCAACGCGACCAATGCCGTTTCCGTGCTGTGCCCAGGCCTGAAGCCGGACTGGAGCGGATCTAGATAGACAGCTTCATCGAGGTACTGTGGAAGCTGCCACGCCACCACACTCTCAACAACCTTCGCAATAAAATGAAGGTTGGAGACTGGATGATAGTTAGCCAAAACAGCCGGATCCAGAGAGGGCTTCTTGAGGAGGGGCCTCACCACCGCTTCTTTCAAGGCGGCCGACAGGACACCCTCACTCAAAGAAGCATTAATAATCATCTGGAGCCAGCCTCGTGTAACCTCCTGGGAAGCCAGCACCAACCAGGAGGGACACGGGTCCAATAAACATGTGGTTTCATTCAGCCATCCCAGAATCCTGTCCACGTCCTCGGGAGCCACAGGATCAAACTCCTCCCAGATAACACTCTCAAGACCTGCCTCAATCATCCCATCCGGACTTACCCAGTCAGAGGCCAGGCCTTCCCGACTCTGAGCGATTTTATCATACAGATACTGCACAAAATCCTCACCTCGACCCTGCAAGGGATCATCCCGCGCTCCCAGATGGAGGAGGGAGCGGGTCACCCTAAACAGGGTGGCTGGGCAATTATCTGATGACACAATAAGAGCGGCAAAGTAGCTAGATTTTGTCGCTTTTATCGCCACTAGATAGGTCTTAATATGAGACCTCACCAGTGTTCGGTCGGATTCGGAATGGCTGGTCCTCCAACTACTCTCCAGGCATCTTTTCCAGCGCTTCATCTCCCTCAGCTCCTCGGAGAACCAAGGAGCTAGGTGAGTTCGGTGCCGGGTCAAGAGGCCGCAAAGGCACGACGCGGTCCAAAGCCCCAGCGATCGCACTGTCCCAGGCGGCCACCAAGTCTTCAGCCGAGTCATGAGCCAGAGTCTCAGGAAATGGCCCATGCTCCATCTGGAACCTATCAGGATCCATCAGGCAGCTGGGGCGGAACCACCTAGTTGGTCCCGCCTCCCTGCAGCAGGGTGTAGCGGTTAGAAAGTCAAGCGAGTGGTCAGACCATGACAAGGGTTCGATGACTATATCCCCTATATCAAGGCCACTTGATCACTGACCAGAGATAAAAACTAAGTCCAGAGTGTGCCCGCCCTTGTGAGTAGGCCCATGAATTAACTGAGTAAGGTCCATGGCCGTCATGGAAGCCATGAACTCCCGAGCCACCTCAAACGTTTCACCAATGGATAGCAGGTTGAAATCCCCCATGACCAAAAGTCTGGGGGTATCAACCTCCACCTCGGCTATGACGTTGAGCAGCTCAGGCAGGGCCGTTGCCACGTGGCAGGGAGCCAGGTACGTGATCAACAAGCCCATCTGCACTCCACGCCCCACTTCACAAGAAGGGACTCACATCTGGCTATCTGTGGAACAGTGGTCTCCCTCGGATCAAGACCTTCCTTTATAATAACCGCCACCCCCCTGCCCCTGCCCTGAGCTCTCGGCTGATGGAATGCACGGAAGCCTGGTGGGCACATATCTACGAGGGGAACTCCCCCCTCCTGGCCCAACCAAGTCTCCGTAATACCTGCCAGGTCCGCTTCCCCCTCCTGAATAAGATCGCAAATGAGAGGGGCTTTATTTACCACGGACCTGGCATTGCATAACAACAGCTGAAGGCTCAGGCCCTGAGAGTCTGAGCAACCTGGGGAATGAGAAGGGCTATAGGGACAGGGGCGTGCCACTGCTCGAAGATAGCGAGTGTGCGCCCCCACCACATGATATGGCCCCCTGCTCCCACCATATCTGCCCCTCCCACTCAGCGTATTGATAGAAAAGCCCTCAGCAGAATGAACTATAATGCCCCCCTTACCCCCGGAATCCGTACCCTCCATAGCCCAACTGGCAGCCAGGCCAGACCCCTCCCCCCGTGGGTTAACCCCCAAACCCACACAACCCTCCCACCTAGAACCCCTTAAAAATCTATCAAAAAATTTCCCCAATCCCCTTTTTGCGACATGCCACCTCTCGGGGTTCCAAAGCCCGTCCTAAAGGTAGGCCCTCGATAGAGTGGAGGGCCACACCTGCGAGAGGGGGGAATCTCGCAGAATAAGAAGCTCCGCTGGCGAATACATCTAAGTAATCAGGGGAAGCCCACGGCCAGGGGGTTAATCAAGTTGATCCAAGTTCTGGAAAAGGGGTATCCAGTCAGGTCCAAGTCAATAAACTCCACTGCTCTCTCACAGCAGTGGATGGAGTCTTAAGCCATTTCGGGGCCAGATGTCGACACCAGCTGCCCTCTCACGAAAGCTGGGAAGAGCCAAGAATCGCAGTCTTCGTCCGACTCCATACCAGACTTGAGATCCAAGGTATATCCCTCTACAATTGGGAAGCATTGATGACAACCATCAATCTGCAGGACCACAGGCCAGGAAGAGACTCCGGTGGCTGCACCTTAGGCGAATGAGGAGGCCATAAAAACATCCACGGGAGGCAGATGTCATATTGTTCAGAGGCCACCTCTAGATGATAAATAGCCTCACGGAGGCTAAGAGACCACACGAGGCACAGAAGACCTGGCCAGAAATCTTTCACGGCCAGTGGGGTCAACAATGCCTCTAGCTCACCCCCATCCACATGAGGGAGGGGGGAGAGCCTCTAGAACGACCAGGGGCGGGCCTTCTCCAAGTGGGTCACCCCCCCATGGCTGCAACAGGCAGTCCCAAAAACAAACGTTGGTAGCATAGTTGGTATAATGGTCAGAGTGCCCCTTGCTCTCCCAATGCAGGCTTCCTGTCCCTCTTCGCCCTCTCTGATGTCATCCCCCACAGCTGCTCGTCCCAGCGCCACAGCCAGTGCCAACATCGACGTCACCAGCCCTCTGAAGTCACCTTCATCCACCGCTGGGTCTTGCAGGAACTCCTGCCATCCCCACGGATTCCCCTGGAGCCCCAACGAGGGGCAGCATCGCCGATGCCGACGCTGCCGTTCCGCCAGCCTGGCGGCCATGGGGAGACGCCGAGGCCGCTCTCACCTGGCTGCAAAGCCGCAGCATAGCCGCCTCCGCCTCGTCCTGGCCGTTGCATCCTGGAGAGCAACGAGCTCTCAAGATGTCAAAAGAGATCGGTGAGAAGCTTCCCTCACTGGGCATGGGGCATAACTAGCTGGTCCGGCCCCCGAAATCCCCCAAAAGCCGGGAATATTCCCCCTGGCATCGCCGCTGCTCAGCTGAGAGCGGCCATCTTGGACATGCGCAGAAGGAGAAAATCTTCTCTACAACGTGGATAAACCTACAAGGGTATTGTATGCCTTATGTGTTGTTATGTATATAAAGACGTTTTTAATCCTGCTGAATTGCCTGATTGTGTGTGCTGCAACAAACTCTGACAAACACATTCTGTTTCCTGCACATTCCTAAGTGTAGTTTTCTATACTCATACTATAATTAACACTTTCTGTCTCTCTAGCATCCGAGTGTTCTGCTAACCAGGATGTGGACCAAATTCGGATGAAGAACAGTTCTCTTACCTGCTCAGGAGCTGGAATCATTTTGTGATTCGCATCACAGAGGGCAAAAGGCTCTTGCAAAGAAAGGACAACCCTGAGTGGCAAAGAGGAAACATTCTTCAAGGACAGAGGCTTGTACTGTGCGGTCAAGATATCACTGGGGTTCTGGAGAAAAAACAGAAAGACTGAGCAAGAATCACACACACAGGCAAGTGTCACACACAAAATAAGGTAGAATCACAATATGACAGTGTTAGAAAGGGCCATTGAAGTTCAGTCTATTACTTAGTGCATGAACTGATCAGTGGCCCATGACAATTAATGAAGGACTACTAGATTTTTAAAATATTTCTGAAGAATATTTGACCACCAGACTAATTTTGATGCAACTCTTCCTTTGCTCAAGGGTATCTGCCCAGCACATTGCATGTTTGGTGCTGCTGGGCATGGAGACTGGACAGAGAAAAAGAGAAAGAGGGGGAATAGTATCTTTGACAGGGAAGGAGGAAGAAGGTAAAATATGTCAGAAAAAGGAAAATGGCTGTACAAATGATGAACAGGTAATTACCAAAATATATAAATGTTTGCTGAAATTCGAAATAGAGGATGTGCACATGAAATAATATATAATAAAATGGATTAAGAACTTTGGACATAACATACTGTTGGAGCAGTAGGAAAATATGTGGTTAAAAGGATGAAAATTCACATTATGTTATAACCAAAAAGAGAACTTTTACAAAATGATGTACTTTGGTATATGACTCCAGAAAAGTTATCTAAAATGTATAAAAGTATCTCAAATTTATATTGGAAATGTGGATGACATGAAGGGTTATTTTTAAGCAAATCAGACTTAAAATTGGTTGCCCTCTCCCCTCCTTAGAAAAACTTTATAACTCCTGCTGCCTTAAGAAAGTTTAAAACATTCTTAAAGATCCATCTCATCCTGGGCACCCTTTTTTTTGAACTATTACCGTTGGCAGACAGTACACGACAATAAAAACAAGGACAAATAGGCTGAAAAACAGCTTCTATCCCAGAGCAGTAACTATATTGAACTCTACTGTATAGTGCAGGGGTTAAATGTTACCAGTTCGGACCAGTTCGAGTGAATCAGTAGTAAAAAATGCTATTTCCGACTATCAGTTGGGCGACGATCAGCTGTGATGCGTGATTTATATTAGCTAGAATGGTCGGATTTCCTGCTTTCTAGCTAATCTAAATCGCATGGCACAGTGGATTCCCCCCCCCCCTTGCTGTTCTATTTACCGTTGCAGACTCAGAAGGCTTCAAAATGTTCCTTTTTTAGTGCAGCACGGGTGCACCTCAGGCAGGCATGCGTGCAAAGTGCGCACGCATGTGCAAAGCGCACACTCGGTAGCAGACTCACAGAACCGGTAGCAGACTTCAGAGGATTTCACCCCTGGTATAGTGTAATGCAGTATCAGGGTTTTCAATTCAATTGTATAGAATGTGAAGGATGCGTGCTTTTGTTTTATTTTTATAGTTTTCTTATGTATGATGTATACTGAAGATGGCATTTAATTTCGTTGTATGAAGTGCAATGACAACAAAGTAAACGAACTTCCCCCCATTGACTTCACTTGTTAGGTGTTCCCTAGGAAGGTTGCAAATGACAGTCCCAGGACCCCGGGATGCTGCAACCATTGTAAATGCATGCCAGTTGCCAAGCATCCAAAGTTTGATCACGTGACTGCTTGACAGTTGTCAGTGTGAGAACTGGCCAAAAGTCACTTTTTTCAGTGCCATTGTAAACGAATGTTTGTAGGTTGAGGGCTACCTGTATACTGATACAAAGAATTTTAAAGACTAAGATTCAACTTGGACCAGCGCTTTTTTTGTTGGAACTAATGAACAGACAACTAGAAAAAAAACATGGAAGATTATTTGTTTATATGGTTGCTGTGAGGCAACTATATGCACAAAAAAGAAAGATTCTGAAATACCCAGAATGAATGGTTGGTGAAGATGGAAGAACTAGCAAAGACATCAAAATTAATTTGTTTGCTTAGAATCTTTAATAAATCACTAGAGATATGTTATGTTCCTTCTTCCTTCAAACACTCCACTATCACCCCAGTGCCAAAGAAACCTTCCATCAAGGAGCTGAACAACTACAGACTGGTTGCTCTGACATCCATAGTTTTGAAAACCTTTGAAAGGTAAGTGCTGGCCCACCTGAAAATCATCACAGATGTGTTGCTTGCAATTTGCCTACTGAGCAAATATATTGACAGATGATGCTATTAATATGGCTCTGCACTACACTTTACAACATCTTGAATCTCCAAGGACCTATGTAAGGGTCCTTTTTGTAGCCTTCAGCTCAGCACTCAATACCATTATTCCAAATATTCTCACTAAACTGATTCAGCTAGCCATGCCTGACCACACTTGTAAATGGATCATTTCTAACAAATAGGAAATAGCAGGTGAATCTAGGCAAAATCACATACAATTAGCACAGCCCCCAGGGCTGTGTGCTCTTTTCACTTCTCTTCTTTCTCTGTACCAACAACTACATCTCAAAGGATCCCTCTGTTAAAGTACTGAAATTACAGATGATACAACAGTGATTGGTCTCACTTGAGACAACGATGAATCTGCATACAGATGGGAAGCTGAACAACTAGCCTTGTGGTGCAGCCAGAACAATCTTGAGCTGAACACACTCAAAACTGTAGAAATGATAATAGATTTTAGGAGAAGCCCTCCTATTCTATCACCTCTTACAATACTAGACAACGCAGTATCAACAGAGACCTTCAAGTTTCTAGGTTCTATAATACCTCAAGAATTAAAATGGACATCTAATATTAAAAATGTAATTAAAAAAGGACAACAAAGAATGTTCTTCCTGCGCCAACTCAGAAAGCTCATGTCAGGGTTCCAAGTAACACCCCCAACGAAAGAAGACTCCAAGGCTAGCAATTCCTCAAAGTTCCATTTTATTAGAGATGTCATATTGGCACATCTGGGAAAACCTGATAGAGACTAGGGCGAAGGGTAACATTGGTTAACAAAAATTAAAGAGAAAGATTATTATTGCAAAAAGTGCAATATATAAACTGTGTTGGAGATGACTAAAAATTGTATAAATATGTGACTCAGCCAATACTCTGTTCAGAAAAAAATGCATTGTATGTTTGTTTGTGTGTTTGTGTAAAAAAAATTAAAAACTTCCACAAAAAAAAAGAAAGAAAATCATGTCCTGGAACGAGAGTAAAACAGGAGGTTAATTCAGTTAGCATGTTAACCATCTCTTCCCCCTCCCCTTTGGCTTGTGGGGAAATTTATCATGAAATTGTTTCACTAGAGCATCAGCATTTACATCCCAACTCTTAACCCATGTAGCTTCTGACAAAGGATATCCTTTCCAATGAACTAGATATTGTAATTTACCCCTATGTAGTTTAGAATTCAAAATATTTTTTACTTCGTAATGGGTCTCACCCTGCACTACAATTGGTTTGGGAGGTGCTGCTTGCTGCAGTCTCAACCTTGAACTGACAGCCGGTTTCAGTAAGCTGCAGTGGAATACTGGATGCACTTTCCCTAGTATGCGGGGGAGGCTGAGCTGCACTGTTACTGGGTTAATTACTTTCACTATGGGGAAAGGTCCTAAGAATTTAGGTCCTACTTTCTTACTAGGCAATTTTAGCCTAATGTATTTTGATAATAGATAAACTCAGTCTCCCACCCAAAATGGGGGCCTGGAGATATCTGTGTTTATTGGCTAGCTTTTTATATGCTCTGGCAGCATCAGTTAGTGCTTTTTTGGTATTTTCCCAATCCTTCTTTAATGACTCCATCCATTCAGCTAGAGTCATGGAAGAGGGTTGTTCTCTTGGCAGCTCAGGCATGGTGACAAATTCCATGCCACTAGTGACCTGGAAAAGGGTCAGTCCAGTGCTACTGTGCACCACATTGTTGTAAGCCACTTCTGCGAAAGGTAGAAGGTCCGCCCAGTTCTCTTGCTGGTAATCCATATAACATCTGATGTATTGTTCCACCATAGCATTCATACGTTCCGCGGCTCTGTTCATACTCAGATGGAAAGCTGAGCTAAGTCCTTGAGACAATTCGACGGACCTCAGGAACTCTCTCCAAAACTTTGTGGTGAATTGGACTCCCCTGTCCAAAATCACTCTCGTGGTACTCCATGTAGCTGGTAGAACTGTTTGATGAACATCTTGGCCAGCTTCTTGGCTGATAGCAGTCCTGAACAAGCGGTAAAGTGAGCTTGCTTAGAAAACAGATCAATGACCGTGTTTCTCCCCCCCCCCCCACTCTCTGGGAGTTCTACTATAAAGTCCATGGCAATCTCCTCCCAGGGTTGGCTGGGCTCGGCTATTTGTTGGAGCAGCCCAGGGGGCCTCCCTGGCCTCATCTTCATAGTAGTACAAGTAGCACAATTTTTAATCCTCCACATTTGCTTTCATTTTTGGCCACCAAAATTGCCTCCAAGCCAGGTGGAGGATCTTTAGGAATCCAAAGTGGCTAGCCAGCCACGAATCATGACTGTGTTGTAAGACTTGCAACTTCAAGCTGCTGGGGACATAGAGCTTGGATCCTTTCCACACTAGTCCTTCTCTCATGATTAAAGTCTCTCAAATCTCAGCAAGCCACTTATCTATTGGAAGTGCTGCTTTTAGTTCAGCTATCAGCTTCTCCTCTAAGGGTATCGCTCTGCGTCTGGCTTGACCCCTGGTAGTGACTTGTGCCGCAATTTGTGCGATGGGAATAATGGCATGGATGTCTTCTCACTGGCTATCGAATTGGGGTTTCCTCGATAGCGCGTTGCCTAGCAAATTTTTTCCCCCGGGATATATTTGAGCTAAAAGTTGAATCATCAGAAGTATTGCGCCTAGCAGACTTGTTTGGGGGAAAGCTTCCGGTTTTTTTTTAAAGCTTTAAGGTTCTTATGATCTATCCAGACCTCGAAAAGCACCTTAGCTCCCTCTAGGAAGTGTCTCCATGAGAGGAGCACCCAGCGAACTGCGAAGGCTTCTTTCTCCCAAATCCCCGTTCGCCGCTCAGGGTCTGTCAGTTTTTTGGACACGTAGGCTGAGGGTCCTTGTAGAGGAGCACTGCCACCACTGCAACATCGCTGGCATTGGCTTAGACAATAAATTGCCTTT